GGTCCCTTCATGTAAAGTCAGGGATCTTTATTGTGTGGTGATGGTGGGCTGGTCAGCCATGATCTCAGCACATATTTAGGTGAGAGGTGGGGATACTCTATGCTTACTAAGACAGAACAGGTCTGTCACAGCCAACCACTCAAAACAATTTAAAGTCTGTAATTTACCTGGGCTAAATGTCTTTGGAACTGTGGGAGGAAACCGGAGCACCAGGAGGGAACCCACACAGGCCCGGGGAGAACATGTCACAGTTGTTTCTCACACTCTTAGATCTAAAAGAGATGAAACAGAGGGCATGGCAACGGTCCCTCACCACAGTGTCTCCTACGTATTACATTCATTCGCATATGTAGCAATTACTGAGGAAACATAATTACGTGTAAAAAGTAAGTTATGGTTAAGCTAGGCTACTTGGTTCCCTGGGTTAAGGTCATGGAAGGTCCATGCTATGCCTAGCAGTCTCATTTCTGAGGAGGCTGAGGCCAGGAAAATGATGAGAATGTTTTATGTGTCGCCAGTGCTATCCTGTTTACAGTTGTATGCTGGGGCAGCAGGTTGAGGATAGCAGATGCCAAGAGATCCGCTAGGCCAGTGACGTTGTTAGGGTGGAGCTGGACTCTCTATTGATGGTGTCAGAGAGGAGGATGCTGTCCAAGTCTCCCACCTACTCCATGATGTGCTGGTCAAACACAGGAGCACTTTCAGTGCATGACTCATCCCCCCAAAATGCACAGCAGAGTGCAATTTCTAAGGATTTGTAATACATTTCACCTCAACACTATCTGCACTTATTATTATTACTACTTTTCATCACGCTCTTATTGATATTCATTTTTTAGATTATATACTTCACAATGTCCCACGACCCTGTACACAGGATAAGCGGTTGACGATGGATGGATGGATACTTCACAATGTTCTACTTATCAACTTTTATTATTCCTTCCTTTATACCTTGATGTGCAATGTGAGCTACTGTGACACAAGAATATCCTGTAATCCTAGTATTTCCGATTCTGATTCTGATCCTGATGGAAAGATTGTGGTTAAAGTGACAGTCCACCCAAAATCTATAGTTTAAGTAGCTTGATCATTCGCTAAGATGATCATCTTATATTTGTGGTTCAGATTCCAATAGTGACACACACATTTCAAACCGATCAAGCAGCCTAATTCATCTCCTTATCCATTCTTATGCCAAAAATGTTCCAAAGACTTGTGTTTTTGCTAAATGCACTCCTGTTCCTGCTGGCTGAATGGGGGAAGTCTTAGATTAAATTGTCTCCTATGCTATACCAAAACTAGTTTTGTCAGGACAATAAATAAATTAATAAACAAACTGAGAAGTCAGTTACTGCTGATTGACTTTGTATGACACAGTGGATTAAACAAACATTGTTGAATTTTTGACATTCTAATATTAAGTAAATTAATAAATACTACATACTAAATAATTCAATCCATGCCTCCCACATTGGCCTTTACACTTAAGTTAACCTTAAAATTTGAGACTTGATTTTATGAGGAGTGAAAAGGTCTGCACAAAGTGCTAATTATTTTCACACAATGTTGACATGAACTTTATACACAAACCTCCCAGACTGTTAGCGTAGTGTTTCTTTAAGTGGAACACTTAAGCTGTCATGATTCTGTGTGAACTATAAGACAAGATGGGACCACTGATCGGACAAGTGCACAACTGACCTTTTAAAGCCCAGTCTGCCCTTTAGAAGTGAGTCCCAACATGGCTTGTGCTTGTTTGCTGCCTGAAGACAAAATATGGCTACAATACAGACCACAGCATAATCTTTTCCTCCATAAGCTTTTATGATAGGACCGTCACTTTGATTCTGAAGAAAGTCACTCAGCTCAGTTACTGTGAAATAATGTTGTTTAAAATTTGACATCTGCAAAATTTGAGACAAAATAAAAATATTATATGCCCAGGCACTATGTGAATTAATGAATTGTAAAAGGTGTCTTGATGAAGTCAGGAGCAAGTTGAATGAACCAGGAAAGAGAACTCAATGTGCCAGATGGCAGCTGACTGTAATTAAAACAAATGTTCAGTGACATGAGTATTAAATGCATCTTACATGGTATTACCTCCTTTCCTAGGCTTTAAGTCCATCCTAATTAATTTTCATTCATGGCTGTCAACATTCAAATCAGTTATTTCAAGTCCATGCACACACACAATCAGCTTTAATAATTCCAAATGCCAGCACTAATAAGGTGTTAGGAAGAGGCCAGTTATCTGAATCAATTATACAGTGAATTTGTGTAATCATTCAAATATTTTTTTGGTTGTTATTTGGGTTACTTTTGTGTGCTTTGATTTGTTCAGACGTAAAACATAAATGGCAGAAAGCTTAATTTGAGCTACTGCAATAAACAGAGTGTGTTTCGTAACAGAAAACTTGTTGGTATTCCGGTCCGGTTTGGTTCTGGCGCTGAACCTGCAGATGCAGTGTCTGCTTCACTATCAATGGAACAACTGCAGGATTTGTTCTTCTTTAAGAGCTTCAAGGACTTGCACACCCAAGGTTGAAGTTTGGAGGAGCTGTGTAGCCTACCAACAACAATAATAAAGATACATTTTGAGACTGCACACCTGTGTAGGTGTTCATTTTTGAATAATGTCAGTAATGTTCACAAATTAGCCCATCCATGATACCTTACGTGAATTATGGACGTAACTTAGTTCCTCTCGCTGAACCTTTTCTTAAGAACTTCTTTGTTCTAAATGACGTGGGAACACAGCCTCTCACTCCTTAAATAAGATAAGTGGATCATATCTGCCTTTATAGTTGTATTTAGTAGCTAAAGTAGCAATATATTTACGTTAGCATGTTATCCTTATTGATTCTGAACTGGAAAAGGTCTGAGGCTTATCAGTACTTTGGGCGTGTCTTGTTAAGGAGTTCGGACACAACCTTCTCTACATAAAAGCAAACATCAAGCGAAGTCAGTTCTTTTTGATTTGTCTGTGTTTTATATGTAATGGAAACTGTAACAGTGATTGATTGATTGAACATCCTTTTTTGTGTTTGGGTAAATGTTCAACATAATGTACTGTAGCTACAGTTAGCTTTAGCTTGATTGGGCAGTCAGGACGTGCACAACATGTCCCTGAACTTTTTGTAATTTTTGCTAACACTAAGCTAACCTATTTTGTTACTAATATCTGGGAACACTAAACTGTCCTCCCAGCATTAGTAGAAAGTTGAGGTACAATCACATTATCCTGTTTAAGGTGTGACAGGTTGCGTTCGTACACTATTTCATGGTTCAGTGAAAGCAATAACTGCAGGTCGCACACATAATAATGATTGCTAACATGTTAGCAAAGACTTTGCACACTCAGCAGACATGAAGCAACATTAGCATCAGTTGGGTCTGTGTCCACCTCGAGCTTAAGTCCAGTATTCACTCTCCGTTTATTTCTGTTTTTGACTCCACTAACTTCTGGAAAAAAAATATGGCTTCCCAGCTGCTAAATTTTCAACTTTCTTTGCCAGCTAGTTACTAACTTTGTCTGTCTGTTTGGTGCTCGGCAGGTGTACAGAGGGAATATCAGACAGCAGACTAAACCATAAGGTATGCTGTAAAACTAAAACTAAAAGCTGCGTAGTTTGTGATAATTATCTTTGGGTTAATTTTGCATCTCCTTTGACCTCCAGTTGTTTGAGTTATTAAATATTATTGATAAATGATATAAATGAAATATCCATATTTCCTACAGTTGTTAAAGATGGGAGGACATTACATTGCATATGGTCCAACAAATGAAACTGCTGAGTTTATTCATTGTTCTCATATAAAAATTTCAGTGCATCTTTTGTCCAATCCATCCAACTGACTAAATATTTAAATCTGCTCTTTAGGAAGACATTTTAAAATACCATTTGACCTTTGCCCAAAACTTTACAAGCACCTGGAACAAATAATACAAGAACCTCAAAATAAAACAAACATGTCCAATTTCATTTCCGCTGGCAGACAGGAATTCGTCACCTCTTAACATATCATTTAAACATTCAATGAGACAGAAAATAATTCAGGTAAACAACACAGTGGGCAATTTTCGTCAACTTTAACAGAAACACTAATGCCAGGAGTTGCATTTGCAAGTAGGTGACTCCATTTAGCACATTTGCAAAAAAATCAGTTCAAACACCTGCGTTACGATTGTTATACCAGAGACCATTTTACACATGAGAGCGTTTCATTAAGTACTTAAGCAGTGGATGCATTTGGTGTAGTTACAAAACTTTTCCATGGCTTTCCCACTTACTTGTATTAGCTATCAATGCAATGAGAGTGCCAATAAAATGCCAGATTTATGCTCGGATCCCAAACTAAAGAGAGGAGAAGACTCTCAGAAGAAACAAACCATATTTTCTTCATAGAAATAACTAGGTCTGTCTTTGACGTCCTGATGCAGATAACGTTGTTGTCATCTGCTTTACTTGCTGCTCAAAAGCGTTATTAATCATGATCGCCATTTGTAATGAAACATCACTTTGCTATGTCAATTGATTTGGTTGCACGTTAGTCTATCCAGTAATGGGAGCCAGGATCCATTTATCACAGCAGTCTTTGCCTTCATATGGCAGCTGCTGCAACACGGTTTGAATCCTGTGTTGCTTTTTGAATATGAGAGCTGCATGTTTAATAGGTTTCAGATGCATTTATTTCCATAAATAATATCGGAACTGATGGAGGCAGACACAACGCTGCTCGACTACTTGTCACGCACACATGCACACCCCAACTCTGTCTGAATGCATAAAACTTCTCAAACACATACCGTATATGGATGGACACAAATTCACTTGAGCATGGATGTGCACACAGGCAAAAAGCAAGCAGTGGTTTGATGATTCTTCCTCTCCTAGTGTTCCCCTAGCACTGATATTGTGTTATGACTCATTAGTTTTCAAGGTTACTGTTTTTCTTTTCTCTTTGGAAGCCAAAAGAAGGCAGCATCTGCTGTGTAAAGCTGTGAGTTTTAGCAAAACAGGATGGCTTGTGTATGTTGATCTGACATTCAGACTTTCAGAGATATATACGTCTAAGCATGAAATGTCATTGTGTGTGTCATTGTGTAAATATATATACATTTACTTTCAGTCATTCCTCCTTAATGAAAAATCAACACGTCTCCTGCTACTTGTTGCCTAATGCACTGTAACATTGAGTTCTTGGCTGCATAATCTCAGAAAACGAGAGCTGCATGTTTATTAGTTATCCAAGACAGTTTAACGGCTACAATGATGTTGAGTGTTGGAGCTTACAGTGTTAACAAGAGACATTATCCTCCTGAACGGTCCCATAATACCGCTGTTTAAGTAAAAAAATCCCATGCAGCAATACAGGTTCAAGGAAACTCTTATTATTATTCCCTAACCTTAAGTAACTGTAAAATGACAAATTACTTGTCTTCTAGAAATTCTTTCAACATCCTGCATTTCTCAGATAAGCATTCCCAGGTATTCATCACAGTTATGATGGCTGTAGGGTTGGAAAATTCTTTTAATCCAAAGGAAAAACAACTCCGTTTGCAACAGGAGGAAGTGAAGGATTTATAGCTAAGACGAAACGTGTGACAGCTTCTTCAAACAGATAAGACACCCAAAACATGTTTTTTTCTAAAAAGGTTTTAAGCAATGTTCATTACATGTTTTTTAATAAAGCACTCATGCATTACACTGATTTGTGTGATATGGTGGGCTTTGTTTTCATTTCATTTCATTCATAAAATATAATGCAATTCAATACATTCACCCTGCAAGAAAAACTTTTTAAAGCCTTCAATTTTTGTTGTGTCTGGTCAGAGAGATTTGAATTTCTTGAGAGTCTCCAATGTTGATGGAGGACATACTTGTGTGTTGGCATATGTTATGATAATCTTACCCTTTTGTTAGCTTACAGTAATATATTTTTGTAGCTTCCATGCAGTAGTGATTTAGTTTATTCAAAGTTTATTTCCTTTTCATGATGTCACAGTTTTTATTTTATTTTGTCCACCTCTGTACATCACAAATGTGGTCATACTGGGATTCTGTGAACTGAATACCAACAGCCCCACCGTAACGTCCTCCCATCATGAACAAGTAGAAATTAATTCCCAGCCTTGGATACTAAAAGAAGCCCCATTAACGGCAGGAAGACAAACGACTAGCTTATTGATGGTTTAGAGACAACATACAGAGGCAAGTTACAGAAGAACAAAGACATCGGACAGGCCCTGCTTAAAGTGCACATGCATCAGCTTCAAACAACAGTGAATGCATTGGGAAAACAGCTCTGCAGACCTAGCAGAAAACCAGTAACAACAAATAGTCCTTCACCAAGGCCGAGAGAAAAACATCGGACACCTCTTGTTTTATTTAACACCGCAAGCTTTGATGTCAAATACTAAAAGTTGATTCAACACATTTGATACAGCTTCAGCAAAACCAAAAACTGAACATGAAAAGCTTCACAGGGGTAGAATCAAACGCTTTTGTTTGTGACTTTAGTGTTGTTTTTATGTCACACCCAAATGTCAACTGGTATTTCTCCTTCCCCAACTAACTTTCTTTTGTCTCTGTGACAGATTTTTCTAAATCAAAGCCTGTGAGTGTCAAGTCCCTTTAAAACAGAGGTCCCACACGTAATACACACACTCTTACAGCAGCGTCCTCCTTCTCAGAGCTGCTGGTGAATGCTAATTTAGTTTACCAGCTTTTCCTTAAGGGCTTCTGTGCAATCTGCAGAAATAGCACTAATGTTTAAAGAAATTATGTCTCGGGAGTTCTTTTCACGTCATTTCAATAAGATCATATTATCTCTTTTATTCCTTGCCAAGGACTGATGGTTATCTCTACTAACCCAGTGTCCATACAAAAAGCATTTTTTAAACAAAGAAGTTTGTATTTTTCTTGTTGTGCATTCATACTTCTGAGTCTTCTATTTTCTGGCCACTGAGCAGCTCCTCTGGACCGTTTTGACATGTAGTGCTCTGTGCTCAGTCAGTACTGGCTGCTGAGTGCAGACAAAATGTTATTCATTCACTTTCCCAAATCATATTTTATTTAACACTCCGGACATTTACACCGGCATAAAGCCTTTAGGCAATAAAGTCACCTTCTTCCTACTCTGGAGGCAAGTCATCGTTTGGCTTCTGATGCCTCTGAGGAGTTTAAATATACATGTAAAAGTTGTACATACGTTTTCCCCAGAGGCAAAACTGAAACATTCCTACATTGCCTCAACATGCCAATCAAACAGCCTCTCCTGTAACCCCAAGAGAAAGACATAAAACTTTAGGTGATCCGTGACTGGAGGGGTTCTGTGGCACCGGCGTTTGACTTGCTGAGAAACACCATGCTTTTAGCAGACCCTTACTCTGGATTTGTGCACTTTGAGCCTGATCTGGACAACCGGAAGATGACGAGGACGCTGACAGAGCCCTGCAGCAGCACCACGACGAAGCAGTGACACAGTCTTGGGATGAGAGATCAGACGTAGTAGACGTGGGGCCTGGACTGGAAGAATGAGGGGTGATGTGTCCTTGTGATTTAGCCGGAGCCCCAGTTCTCAGGCAGCGACCACGGAGCACATTGTGGAAGGCTTTCTTGAACTCCTGGCTGAAGCATGGGTAGATAATGGGGTTAATGCAGCTGTTGAGATAACCCAGCCAGAAGGTTATCTTAAAGATGGTTTCAGAAGGCTTACAGGATGGGAAGATGGACCCTAGGGAACACATACAAACAGACACAAATCAAAATATGAATGGAAACAGACACTAACTAAATTAATGATTACTTGTCATACAAAGATGTAATTGTCTTTTTTTCTGTTCATTTTACGCCACTATTAGAGTGTAATGCTCAAATAAAAGCCAGTATTAAAAAAAAGGCCAGCCCCAAGTACAGGCTGGGGGGGGGGGGGCTATAATGTGTGTACCGTGATATACATTTTCATTGTTTTCATTTGATAAATTAAAACAATATATTCATGCTTTCATTTCAAGTTATTGTCAGATGTCACTGCAGATGTACAGTGTGTGTGTGTGTTAATGTCCCAGCCAAAAACGGTATAATACAGTATCATCTTATTTCATTATGTGCCAAATTTTAACTTTAGAAAATGTGCAGGATTGGTACACAGGAATCCAGAGGGGGGAAAAAACTGCTTCTCCACCTCATGGTTCTGAATGCAAGGATTATTACTGTTACAAATGAGGATTAAAGCCCCGAAAATAAAACCCAAGACATAATAAACTACAATTATCCTTTCTGAATGATAACATTTGGTGCTTTACAAATGGCCACTTAATGCATTTTTTGAGATATACAGTAGAAGACCGAAAACTGCCTCCTTGGTGGAGACGGTAAAAGCAGTTAAATTCCAGTTTGCCATTTTTCTAAAAGCAATGCTTCACGGCAGCAATATATATGGTGCCACTGATGAGCAGCAGTTACTACATATGTTGAGCTTGGTAAGCATACTGTACTGTGCAGCAGCCAAAGGCGGCCACCAAGTGCTTTGGCACAAAACAGTTTTTCCATCTGAAGTGCTTGGGAAAAGTACAAAATAAAAAAATCAGTGATTGTTCAAATCCTTGAGAGCCTCAGAGCTTGAATGAGCGCTGCGCTGTGAGCTGTGAAGGTCTGTCTCAATTGAAATGCATAACTATTCTCTGATGACTGGCTGCCTTGGGAGGCTGCAGGGTGACTGCGGATACCTCCTAGCATTACAGCCCATTAAGCCTCATGCTTGTTATCTATAATAGCTTTCATAGGAGGGAGCAATAGTTTGGTTCATTCCATTTCATCTCACAGCAGAAGCCCATTCTACTCCAATGTGGTGTTTTATTTGGTCTATTTGGTTGCTTGTAATTGAATTTCTTGATGTCCCTTCTGAGAAACTCGAACAGTAGAGTTGAGCGAGGAAGGTCTTGCCTGTCGTGTTCATAGAGCAAAACATATCATCAAGCAACATTATACAAATGATTCAGGCCTCAACTGCTTTTACGTTATAATAGATGTTGCTGTAGTGCTAAACTACAGGAGGGTTGCTATTAGATCTGCATGCTTAGGACATACAGCGGCACAACTCTATAGATGGAAATTTTAGTCTGTTGGCCCATCTGTCAGTCAGTCAGATAGTCAGTTGGTCAACTACCATACTGAATTTGGTGACCCCTTGAGTTTTCCTCTAGCGCCACCATTAGACTGACATATGTGGTTTTTAGTGAAATGTCTTGATAACTTTTAGGTGATTAGGCCATGAAATTTGGTACAGATAGCTCCAGAGGATGAATCCTAATTACTTTAGTGATCCCTTTACTTTTCCTATAGCACCACCGGCAGTTAAAGTTTTCTATTATTGAGTCAAACATCTCCTGGATCTATCTACTAGATGGACTGGCAAAAAGAATTGCACAGACATACATGGTTCCTAGAATCCTACTGACTTTGATCACTTGACTTTTCCTCTAGCTCAACCAAGAGGCTGACATTTGTGTTTCTGAGTGATGTCTCTACAACTATTAAATGGATTGTTATGAAATTTGGTACAACATTCATGTTCCCCACAGAATTAGCTGTAATAACTTTGGTTATCATTTCACTTTTCACCTATTGCTTTCATAGGGTCAAAATTTTTCTGACACTTTGGTTTATGACCAAGTAACTGCTAGCTAATGACATTTCCATCAGCGTCGGCTGCTCTTTGTGTTTAATGCTAATTAGCAAATGTTAGCATGCTAAACTGAGATGAATTAACATTAACTAGGAAACACTAGCATGTTAGCATTGTCACTGTGAGCATGTTAGCACGCTGATGTTAGCATTTAGCTAAGTACCCCACTGTGCCTAAGTCCATCCTGACATAGCCACTAGCATGGCTGTGGACAGTTAGTGTTGTTTAAGCGAATACAATTGAGGTGTTTTCAAACATAATTTTAAGTTATGTTATGTAAGTTTGATTAGACATACCCAGGATATCTTTTCGTTATCTGGCTTCACTAACCCTAACCATCACGATCGGGATAAGAGTTCACACGAAGCTGGTAATCAACTCGATAAGTCAACACAGGGTCTCCCAGTCCAGCCATGAGGCCTTCACTTAAAAGAGGCAGTGTTAGCAGCAGATGACCAATTGCAAACAAGTTCGTTGGCGGCAGCAGAGTGTCAAAACGTAGAGCTATAATAAAGAACTAATATTAGACAAATAGATGTAGTAGTAAATAATAAAATAGGTGGTTGTTCCAAATCACTTTTAACAACTTCTCGTCACTTCAAAAATCAGATTAATTATTTAACACACTCAAAAGTGTTTTTCTAAATTAACTTCATAAAGCAACAAAACAAAAATCCATTCATGCCATTAAAGATGCTCACATAGCAAAAGTTGAGGTGGTACCAGTCTCTTTAATGTAAGATAGCTACTAACTTAAAATAAACACATTCATATTAAACTTATTTCAATATCCCTACAAAATTATTTGCTCGTAATATTCAGCCTCACAGTAGAAAAATGAAGCCTATTTATTTATATATATATTATTTATATTTTTAGCTGTCTGAAACTGACTTGGTAACAAATTTTAAATATAAAACACATTTCAAAGCAGTTCTTAAATCTTATATCTTATATCATAAAGTAAAACAAGTACAAGGCCTTAGTGCTTCAATTAGTCTCTGTAGGATTATATTGCTATTCCAAAGTTAAAGCAGCCTATAAAACAGTCTGGGATCTCCTACAGATGGTGATGTCCTTTTTTCAAGAGAACTGATTGGTCAGTGGTCGGAGTTTTTAGAGCTGATCTCTTATTTCAACCGTAACCTGCTATAGAGCATGTTAGCCGTTAAGTTACCATGGCGATCTACACCGGTAAGAAGTGAACCACCACCTTGGTACTGAAAACCCAGGGTTAACCATGAAGTTACCTCGCTAAGCTCAAATCCTGCTTCATAGTACAGGCTCCTGTTTCTCCCCTGTGTTTACCAATATTACAATTGTAAAGTAGGGCTATATGTAAAGATTATAGTCTGTAAAATGTCAGGAAATAGCCTAGTAAAAAAACAACAAACACAATCACAGAGCACCAGGGGTCTCTAAATTGTTTGTTTTGTCTAAGCAAAACCCCCAAATACACAATGACATACAATGTGCAAAGCATAAAATCGTCACATCAGAGGCCTTGAGCCAAACAAATATTAGATTAATATGCCTTTTTTACAGGAACACATTGACTTGCCATAAAAGGAAAAGCACAGACTGTGTTACTAATAATATTACTGATGGCTCAGTTCCATTCAAGTGTCCCAGTAAGCCATGACAGTGTGACAATGAGCCAGCATGTTCAATACCAAGACCCTGGAACTGAAGCAGCTTTATTCAGCCATCATTTTTTTAATCATTTACACCTGAGCTTTTCCCACTGTGACATGTCAAAATGTCTTCTGTGAATAAAGGGCCGATGGCAAAATTTTTCAGCACAAATGTAGACATATTTTTAACAGAACATCAGAAAAATTATGACAAAACCATAAAGATTTACCTTGACCTTGTAAATGTTATTGATAATATTATTTGAGAGAACATTCTGCAATTGAGGTCTGCTACCTATTTCTGGTGCTTTCAACACAAAAGAAAAGTCCTCTAAGTGAGATGGATGAAATCATGACTGCTACTAAGCTTGCACATAAACAGATCCATGTCCATGACAACTGAGCCAGCTCCATCTGCTGCAGCTGAATGCGCCGGGTAAAAGCTAGCAAATGGACCATGAGTCGGTATTGTTTTGTCAGACTGTATAACTTAGATTTTGTTACTGTGCTGTGTTAATCCCTGTATTTAAAGACCTGTTTATCAATTTAAGACAGACAAGAGCTTCTAGTTTTTGGTAGAGTGACCCTTTTGTTTACATTTGGATTACACATTGAGCCTTTAATATTGCTTGTTATGAATGCACACTGGCAAATAAAAGAGAAAAAAGATAACACTGTTTGTCCAGATGATGTGTTTCATCCACGTCTCCTCCATCCTGCATAATATACGGTTTCCTCCTTCAATAAGATTACAGTTTGTGTCACCGAATACACGTGTCAGCGATAATCTCACCATCTGTGACCTTGGAGGTAACTGCTGACAAACTATTACCCTTAAATACACACTGACAATCACTTATCTCAGTCAAACTATAAGAGTTATTTCAGAAGCAATTAAGATTTTAGATTAGGCTTCACAATGGTTGGCTTCTGTCCTCTCTTACATCTATGATAACATCACCTTCTTGACAAAATGTCGGTATAATTTCTTAAAGATAATGTTGGTGGACATTTACTTTTTCTTGAGCTCCTGATATTGTTAATAGAAGCTCATATCTACAGTGATGTTCAGAGTATGGTCTAGACCTGCTCTTTTATGAAAAGCGCTGTGAGATAACTATTGTTGTGATTTGGCGCTATATAAATAAAATTGAATTGAATTGAATGTTTGACTGCAACAGCAGAATAATCCTTAATTAGCTCATTTCGATGCAGTTTTACTTAGGCTAAATTTTTAATCAACATTTTATATATTCTTCAGAATAAAGCAGGGCTCTATAAGAAAAAGCATCAAAGAAATAATTAATGCTCTCATTATGACATCAATTAATTTCTGAATCATTGAAATCCCTTTTTAGATTCAGAGAATACATTATTTCGTCATAAATTGTACAGCGGATAAATTTTAAGGTTCTCTTTTTGTCATGTTCCCTCAAGTTCTGCCACATTATATGCCTCTCACCTAATGCAAGAACCACTTGAAACATATTTGAATTTTTTAGAAGAACTTGCTACAATTTTTTTTGTCTTATTTTGAATTTTATATTAAGCACGCACACAATTTTGTGGTCCAGACCTGCAGTAGGATGTGCAATTAGTCTACTGTAATCACAACTCAAGTTCTTCACTTATGGATTGTCTAATTTATTACTCTGAAGCAATTTTGAGTCCTATGTAAATCACACTTCATAATTATGTTGACATTATCCTGTTTGACGCTGCAATTTGAATTATAATATGATTCTTAATGTATTGCTAGAATTTACCCTACAGGGGATTAATAAAGAAATATCTTATATTACATAGCCCAATGATATAATTTATTCATATCATTCATTTAAATTGGCTATTGATGCTGCTGTATACTACTACAAAATCAATTTGAACATCTCAAACTGCAAAAAGACTTACATGATGCACTATTTGAAGGTTAAATTGTCTCTGTATATAATAAGTTCAGCTGGAAGTGTAATATTTTGGATGCAGTAGGCCCTTAGGAGAGAGTGACAGCATGCTGATATATTGGCAGACAGATGAATGGTTGTTGTCGCGGTTTAGATTACCACGGGCTGTGCTTCAGCAAATGTGAAACTTGTTTAAGATGCAACTCTGCAGACAGGAACGCCAATCCAAGCCGATTCTCCCTTAATTCCACTTCTGACCCTATGAAAAATTATAGTCTTCCCTTTATAGCAGGTCATTTACACTGTTATCTGAGGTTGGGAACGTTTGCTAAATCTGAAATGGCACATATTTAGGAGCCCGCAGTGAAAAAAAAAAAGTAAGAGGAAGTTAAGACAAGAACAAGAACATGTTCTAGAATAAGGCCAATGTCTCATTATCATTTAAAAGTCATTGTAAACGCATGTTTTTCTGAAAGATTAATCTGTGGTAACCTGTTTTTTTCCCCAGAAGTCTCTTCTGTCCATTAAAAAATCATTAAAGTTGCTGCACTATATAAAACATAATTTCCAGCTACACAAAGATGGCTGGAAGTGAAATGACTCCTGATCAATTTGTATGAGGCATCAACAAAATGAAGATGTTTTATTATTAGGTACATTTATCGTTATTTATGTTAGTTCTATCAAGCTAAACTGCTAGAGGTCAACAAAAACAAGATTTTCAACTGGTTTTAAACTCTTCAATCAAAGTATCATATTTATTTCTTGTGTATAAATACATAAAATAATTGAATAATTACACTTTTTAAATTTTGTTTCCTATAAAACAGTTAGTTTGTGCTTATTGTAACCCTCTTTAATTTCATTAAAGCTGCTATAGGCTAATCACATTTTTATAATAACAAAGTATCAAATGACAGTGTGTGTGTGACACTGTGAAAGTTGTTGCTTGTAGTGATGGACCTTCGGAATCTGCAGCTCCTGGCTTTAAGCAGCTTTATAGTGGGTTTCAGCTCATTCTCACTCTCACAGCTCTCATAGTGTTGCTTTCAGCCACAGCAGGCAGCTGTTTTCAGCTAAAAAGCTCCAAAACCTGCTGCACACGACCTGCTCAGCACCAATCTGCAGACTTGCACAGCTAGCGATTAGCTGGCGAACATGGTGTAGCATTTAGCAAATACAGAGCAAGATATTTCATTCAGTGAGAAAAGCTGAGTGGAAAAGCTGACTTACATTCAGCTGATGCCAGAAACAAACTCCAGATGAATGATAATAATGCTCTGAGACTACTGTAAGTGTAAATAATAATAAAATAATAATAAATAACTGTTGCTTATCAAAAGTGTCAATGCCAGGTGCATTCGAGATGACAGCGGATGACTTTTGCTGACTTGATAGTGAAACGTGAGCTGCAGGCGACTACAGGGGAAGGGTATGAAAACAGCAAGTCGGACACATTCTACCTGTGTGAGGTTACATACTGTGAGCTTTGAACAATGGCAAAAGGTGGTTTCAACTTTGTGCCGCTGTTGAAAATCAACTGCGGTCGCCGGACCCAGCGACTGCAGCCGCCTTGCTCCTGCAAGGTTTTAATGTCACGTGACATGGTAAACTTTGGACACAATTTCTAACCAGCATGCCTTATGTGGAGTCCGGCGTGCATCGCGTTAAGTCAGTGCTGTGTTGCGCCACATGAAGTCAAATGCACCTAATGTTTGGTTCACAACTCGTTTCCGCGGTCCCCAAATGAGGAAAAACTAGTCATTGCAGGTATAAGAACAGAGTTGCAATCCAGGAAACAGGTTAAAAATCTTTTTTATTGTTCTGCATACTTTTTATTCAGATGGGCAGGGGAGTCTTTGAGGATTCTGGTAATACATTCAAAACAGCAGTAAGTGGTTTTAAATGACCTTTTTGGTTTTTGAAAAATCTTTCAGAGAAACAGACCTTTAGCTTTGTGACTTGAATGTAATAATGATATATGAAAAAGCACAAATTGGGTCAAGTTAAAAGCAGATGAAGTTGGGAGGTACCTACCGATGGGTAAAACCAGGAAAAAAGGGAGCCAGCACAGAATGAAGCACCCGACAACAATGCCAAGAGTCTTGGCTGCCTTTTCTTCTCTTGAGAACTTCAGCAGCCTCGGCAGGGAAAAAGTGGTGCGTTTATGCCTCACGGTCCCCTCCTCATCCTCCTGCTTCCCTGTCTGAGCAGCATTCCCTCTGTGTATCCTCAGCATCACCCCCTCTGTTTCAACCCCATCTCCCTTACTGCCCCTTGTCTCTCTCTTTGCCACAGTATACACACGGCAGTACATGGCCAGGATGACGGCCAGAGGTATATAGAAAGATCCTAGTGCTGAGAACACAGCATAGCCGGGCTCCTCAGTTATTCTGCACACTGTCTCATCTTCTGGGTCGGGCTCCTTCCAGCCAAACAGTGGGCCCACAGATATAGCCGCCGAGAGCCCCCAAAGAGCAGCCACTGCGGTCAGGCCTCGTCGCCCCGTAGCAATGGCAGGGTAGCGCAGAGGGTAGCTGACAGCCAGGTAGCGGTCGACAGAGATCACACACAGGCTGAGGATGGAGGCGGTGCAGCAGAGGACATCCAGGGCGGCCCAGACATTGCAGAAGGACCGACCAAACACCCATCTGCCCAGAGCCTCCGAGGTGGCGGAGAAGGGCAGGACGGCGGAGCTGAGCAGCAGGTCGGCTGCTGCCAGGTTGGCGATGAAGTAGTGTGTCACAGAGCGCCAGTGGTGATGGAACAACACTGACAGGATGACCAGGACGTTGCCAAGAACCCCGAACACTACAAACACCACCAGCACCATCCCCAAAATCACAGCCTTGGCTACATCCACTTCTGGGTGAGCAGAGGAGCTGCAGTTGGGACAGCGATCTGCAGAGAAAAGACTTGTGTTCTCAGAAGGAACCATTGTTATCTGTTGGATGTATTAAGTTCATGGCACATCTGTTCCTCAATTACTACAGCTTCAACCCTCTGCCTTTTTTCCCTCCTCCGAATGCAGAATATTAAAGCTTTTCCTGCTGCATAAACTGCTCTTCCAGTTAATTTATAGATGCAGCGTCTCTTTCCAGCGCGCCACTGATCATGTGGCCTTGGCAAGGGTTCCTTGGCAGAATGCCATATTTAGTAAGAGAAACACTGCCACAGTTGGTCATATTTAGTCCAGAGTAGCTTAATAGAAATGACAAATATTCATGTTTTAAGTGGCAGTCATCGATGGATTTGGAATGTCATGTTCAGCCATGCTGAAAGGCTTTGTTGCAGCAAACCTGTTAAAACAACAAAAGAGATATATTTGACAGCACATTCAGAATCCAAGGCTTTTAAAAAAAACCTAAAACAGGCTCGTTACTTCTTAATTACTGTTCTTTCTTTGGCAGCAATGGAACAAATCAAACATAAAAAAAATCACCCATAAAATAGAACACATTAAAGGTAAATTGCTAAAAAAAATTCATCACACAGCACCCAGTCATGATTAAAGGGGTAAAAATATCACTACATAGTCTCTTTTCAGAGCACACAGTATATCTGTTTGCGAATTATTCAGCCTTCATTACAGATGCATTAGAGAAAACAGGGGTTATGCTTGAGTGAACTAAGTGCCATTCACAATTTCCTTTTCATCCAAAAAACATTACAGCCTACTTATCTTTTTGCCTCTGCAAGCAAACAAGTGACAACCATAAAATATCCCATTGTGAATATCTGATTTTTGATTAACCTTTATTTAACCAGGCAGATCGATTAAAGGAAACTTGACTGTGAGGAGATTATAGAGCTTGTGAGCAGTACGGGTGGGGGTTTAATAGAAAGGGAAAAAAGAAACAAGATATAATCAAAAACAAAAGGGGTAAAGACAAGGACACCACAGCGCCAATAATAAGCCTTAGGGCAAAAAGAAAATCATCTGTGACATGAGAAAACCAGCCAGCCATGCAGTGAGTAAAGATTAATGAAAGCATAGATTTTTTTCCTTTAAGAACAGACGTTCAGCTGGAGCATGTGGTGGCTTCCTTGAAGTTCTTGTGTCTGCAAGCCGTGCTCTAACTCAACCGCCGGGTGACAGGCCAGGAATTGAACCTTGAGGAGGGCACTATATAACCGCGGCAAAGGCACCCGCCGCTGATAGTCCCACTCAGTACCACTCTCAGTGTATGTGTTGGAGATCCGGGATGTCACTGAGCGAGATAAACGCCAGCGAGGACAACAGAATGAAAAAGCAGCCGTGATAAAGCCTTCGGAGAGCAGAGTAATGCTTGTCACATGTTTGTGCAGGATCAAAGGCTTTCGCTCAATGCACATCCCACCATGAGGCGGAACAAAATTCACGCATCTAAACACTTGATGCTGGGATCAGTAGCCAGAGGGGGAATTGAAATGAAACTGTCAGTGAATGATCTCCTGGATTGTTTCAGCAGAATAGCTACACACAGTCATATTTGGAATACATTTTCAGTTGTAATGGGATTTCTCGGTGGGGTGAAGTGTCTGCGCAAAGAGATTGGCCGCATCTAAAAAGTTTATTTACTTAGCCTACCTGTGTTTGAGGACTACTGTTGCTGGGGAAGCGTCAGGAAGCAGGAAATAAATTTACGCTGACCTGAGGTAATGTAGTAGAAACATTTGAACACAGGTAAAACAGTATGCAGGGAAATGCAATATGTCATGCAGTATCCCTAAGTTCTGCAGCGCTGTGTTGAATGTCTCAAGGCAGTGCAAACTGTATTCTAAGACAAGTATGTCTTTCCTGAAGTTACAAACCACAGCAGCAAGTCTGGGACATGTGACACATGTCTTGAAGATGCTTAGCTGACACATTACATTTTATTTGCACGTGCAGTGTGTTGGTGCACAAGGCTGAAGAAAAGTAGCTCACTCTCTAAAGTAAAAACTCCTCCATATGTTTTTTCTGTTTCATGTATTAGCACGGAAGGGGCAGGGTGATAGCAGCGGTGTGACAAAGTGATGAAGTGGTGTAAGATGCGTTAAATGACCTTTTCGGTCTGCTGCATTATTGACTGCCTTCCCACCCTTTCCAGCTCCATCCTGTGAGTTTGTGGTGTTATTTATTTATAATTTTCTTGATCCCGGGGAAAGGAGGATTGCCAGACAAAATGGAAATGTTGTTGAGCGGGAGAAAAAATCAGCAATGGAAATGTTGTTGTGTTCTGGCAAAAGGGAAAGGGCAGTCATGAGATCCCAAAAACAAATGCAAAAGCAGCATGACATGTTCTCACATTGAAACAGTAGAGGAATTATCATGCCTGTGCATTTCTCCGCATATGAAACCGAGGTATGGTCATTTGTATTTGACAATACTTGCTAAGTGAGTCAACTGACCTACCCAAGTGGAGTAAGAATAAATAGAAATGTCACAAATCGAAAAGATGCAATGACCCATGTCCTATAGGAGAGCATCAAAATGTCAAGGTGTTCATTCAAGGCGATCGTTTGACCTTTTTAGAGCGTTCATAATTGACTCATTGTTTAAGATATATATTAAGTAAAAATACCAAATATTTGTATATGATTGTAAATTGAAAAAAAAAACAAGCAAGTTGGAGACATTACCTTGACCTCTGAGAACTTGTTTGGCTTATAATACGTTTACTTAATTCAGATGAAAAGAAAATAACGTATGGATTATTAAAATAGTGATAGTCATCACTGCACGCATCCCTAAAGTCATTTTCTTTCAGCTGACCATCATACATCTCCCATTCTCTGTAGATAATATTTGATTAAAAGCTATCGGCGAACATCATTACACTCCAATTTACATCTGGAAGGTCCACAGCTCATCTTGTGGCATTAGTGGACCTCATGGAAAGATAGTGCTTTGCCCTTGAAGAAACCTCAGTCTGAGTGGTCATTACAGAATTAAAACAAGTCAGCCAATTAAATCTATGATTAGGATTTTGTTTTAGGAGAGATAATATTAGCGGGCATATTAAATGGCTTAATGTAGCCTGACCAAGGGCATATTTAATCACAACTGCAGTTCACTTGCATAGAACCACATTATAATGACATGGGTAATATGCACAACGTTAACATAAGGCTTCCTTACACCCTTTCATCCCTGCAGCAGATCAGGATGCCCTGTTCTTTTTAAAGCATGTGTGTTCTGTAACATAAGGAAACTTATCTGCCTTACATTACACAAATAATAATAATAATAATATTTACTGTCCACTAATGTTCACAGGTTGGCTATAACAATAACCATAGTAAATCAAAGCACATCCAAGAATAACTAACACAACATGCACAGTACAGACAACAATAACGGAGATGGTTTCAGTGCGAATGGCGTTTACGACAGACTTCAGCGGATTGTCTTCTCAAGTGCAGTTTTATGAATTATTTTAAAAAAGGGGGGATGAACAGGATCAGACACAGTTTGTTGGGATTTTTTTTTTTACCTGCATTTTATATGTACATCCCAGTGTTTTTGCTCTAATTGTAATTCTGGACAGTCCCCAGGTGACCATACTGTGTACACATATTCCAAGTTAAAACACGGTTGTTTCCAACAAGGCTTCTGTTAACAGAAGTGCTGTTCCTAATTAAATTGCTATAGTAAATCTAATGGTAGCCTATATGCAGCTTCCTGATTAGATACAAACTACATTGCTTTTAAAAAAATATATTCTGTGTTGGCTGCAAAACTTATGTGCAATCAAAAAAGGTTTAAAAGTATTTAAATGACTTCACACCACTTAGTAAGCTTACTAATATGGTGATAATATGTAGACTGATTGTTGGGAATCTGGTAGGCTTTAGTGGCAAATATCCAGGATATTTAAATGAAGGGTAAATGGTCTGTACTTGTATAGCCTCTTTCTTGTCTTCTGACCATTCAACGCGCTTTTACGCTACATCACATTCACTCCATTTGCACACATGCATACATACACAGAGCCTAACTGCTCACAACAGAAACTAAGGGGTGGGGGGAGGATCGAAACGCCGATTAAATGGCAACCATCTACCTCCTGAGCCAAAGTTGACTCTATTTATTAATATTAATAAATTCATTAATATTACTAAAATGATTAAAATAGATGAATAATTATGGGGTACCTCACTGGGATTAAGATCCAATATCCAAAACATGAAAACAGTCTCAAAAAGGGGGTTGCCCTCCCAGAAATGGTAATATTTAATATTTTACATTAATAAGGTGGAGTAAAGGGTGACTGAGCACTGACTGTCACAACCAGCTGTTATTACAACACATACACAACCATAGGCAACTCCTCTTTAAGGTACAATAGACTTTATTTAACTTTTAACAATTAATAATAACTTCAGTGGCTCCGATAAACCACTATTATCTACTCTAAGCACAAATAAAAGCATACAACAATCAGCAATAGGTGTGGGAATCTCTGGGCACCTCATGATTCAATTCGATTACAATTCAGAGAGCTGCAATGCAATTATAAAACCATTATCGATGTATCTTGATGCATGATTTTTTTCTATACAGGATATCTGGATAATTACTAAGAATTTAATTTGATACATTTATTCCTCATTTCTTTAACAACCAGTTGTCAGACTTTTCTGAAAACTGAAATATAATTATCAGGATGTACAGTATACAGGACAGAGCTGTACACCAATTAAGCTAAGCTTGTACCTGATGTTCTCAACCCTTGACAAGTAGGTAAGTTAGTACTAATGACATACAGCTGAGCTGTTACTAATTTAGCTAACGTTACATAACAGCTATAAAACGTGCTGTACAGGGGAGATGTTAGCTTGTGCTAACAGCCTTCACTTTTCCAGCAGTTGGGGAAACCACACTTTTAAACTAGACTTTTGGTCACAATGTGACCTACACTGCCAGGCTGAAACTTACATTTTTCCTTGCTAACTTTCACTGTCACTGTTCTGCCGCTTGCTCTCTCTCATATTCGCTCAGCCTCACTCTTAGGGGCTGCCAAGTGTTGAGAGTCACCAAGCTAGCACAGTGTGCAAGTTAAAATCATCACTTGCACATTGATATTAATGATTGTGTGACATTTTAGTAGGGTGGTTATTCATTCCGCAACAGTGGTGTCCTGAACACAGGGGGGAACAGTGGTCTCACTGCTATGTGCACGCCACAGACGGTCTGGGCGCTGCACTTCAAGCAAGTTCCGCCTTTTGCGTTCTGTCAGCATTACGTTATCATTTAACATAAATAATCGATTTTTTGACATTTGTTAATCGAGTCAGAATCTTACACATCCACATCGCAATGCATCAAA